GTCTTTTGGTACTGGGTAAATGGGTTTTGCTCTTTAAAGGATCCCAATTCCAACCGGTACTTTGCCATGGTATAAATAAGGTAATGGTTTTCGTGAAGAAATTCAAAATAGAGTTTGGATAGCAGGCACCTATCCTGGTTAACTATTTTCCATAGTACAAAGACGGCTTCAAAACCCCAGAAAATATCATAGCTCCATAGCCTACTCAAGAAGGTTCAAACTTGCTCATAGCCTCAGTAATTTTTTCTAGTAGGTCCAAAAACGATCAGAAAAAAGTTGGTGGCCCAATATGGCCAAAAGATGGGCAGATGAACTCCCAACCTCCAAAAGCTATTCTAATCTTTGTGGCGAATGTGGGTTTAGACAAGGTGTTGCGAAAATAAGAGGGTGAAATGGATACGTTAGGCCACAGTGCACTTTCCTATTTAATGGATGCATAAACATCCATAACATCTTCGTCTGATTTCCTACTAAAAACTTTGCATGCACTGAGGGTTTAGTTTAGTGCGCCATAACCGTGGCTGTTGAAGTGACCAAATCCTTTTCATTATGTACCTGTTAGAATGCATACATAAATGTAGGTGGAGTTCTACTCGATTACTCTGTAGCCTCATCTAGCAAGAAATTTCAACTAAAAGTTCTTCCTGAAATCTAGCAATGGAGGTGCTCAGTCTAATTTTAAGAATGATTTAAAGCAGGGCTTCGAAACAAAGGTTTTTCATATCATCGCTCCGCTCTAGCTCCGCTCCGGTATTTTATTTCGCTCCAAAAAATTTTTTTATTTTTATTTATTCACATATGTACCCTAACCGCCAAAAAACGTTGGCGAAATTTTTCTTTACAATTTTCTGTTTGATGCAGAAATGCATCTAGAACTCTTCTGCATATAGAATGGAAATTTATTTAACACGTTTTTTACTCTTGTGGAAAACGACAATAAAAAGATTTCAAAATAAATCGTTACTAGGCTAGAAAATAACAGAAACAAAATTGTGAAAACTTTTCTTTAAGGAGCTTCAGCTCCGCTCCAGCTGAAATCTTTTGCTCCGCTCCGCTCCGAAGCCCTGATTTAAAGAGATTTTTAAAGATAGACTTAAAATAGGAGCTTATAAATATATAACTCCAGATTCCAGCTATCTGCCCCTGTAAGTTTAATTACAAAATTTTCTGCTATCTCGTGTCTATTAACGTTATAAGAAACTTGAGCGATTCAGTAATTGTTCGTGGTCAATGTAACGTATACGACAGGGCAGCTCATATCGTGTTCCAACCAATTTTTTAATTATAATTATTTTATTATAATTATTATCAATAATTATTGAACGGCCGCAATTTCAAGCACTTTTTGAAAGCCAGTTAAATTTGACTATTAGTTGTTCATTTGTCTTTTCTAATTTTTTTTTGTTTGACTGATGGCTTTTATTTTATCTAAAAAAATTGTTTTCCTTTAAAGTTTTAAAGAGTGAAAGTGATTCCCAAAATGTTAACGTTTTTTAAAATAACATTTTTATTTCAATATTTGTCTTAAAATTTTGTTTCTCGATTGTAATACCGACTGGCTTTTGATGATTATTCTTGTGTTTTAGACCAAAAAGTCGATATAAATTTTTACAATCTGGCATCTTTAGCCGTAAGTGCACCTACTCATTAGACTGTGTGAGAATTGCAGATGACTCATACAGTTAAGAAAAATTATACGCATATTTGGAGTGGGCAAAATAATATTCTTGCACTTTGTATTTTTTCTTTTTGTTTACTTCATCTGCATAAGTCAAGTGCACAACAAATTTAATTAAATTACAAACACAAAATCCCACTTGGTGTCATCTTATTTCTTAGGAAATGTTCAAGATTTTGCAGCAGATAATTTGCAACATGACTTTGCACTTGTTTACATTAAAATGTATGTAGGTATGGTTGTCAGACGAATAAATTAAAAAAAGAATTAGGCGCAGATGCATTTTTTGTTATGCCTACGCTGCTAAACTTGATGTTGAGTCAGCAGTTAGTTATGTAAAATAAAAAATTTAATAATTAAATAAAAAAAAAAATTTAACGGCTTTTCTGCATTTCGCACTTACTTTCTCAAATAAGTATTCACCAATTTTGAATTATTGCACCAGAAATGTAAGGTTTCTTATAAAAAGAGTTGACATCATCGGCTGTTAGGGGCCCTTGTTAAGCTATAGAGTCAAGGCAAGACATATATTGGAAATTCAGATATTAATCGTATCTTCATTTGTATTAATGAAATCAGTTGTTGCGCGGTTATAAGGATAATGTAAATTCATTGGAGTAAGTCTACTTGAACCTAGTCAACTATTATCCGATCTACATATATATTTTTAAATTCAAGGGTATTAACAATTTAAAATCACAGCGCCATCAGCAAGAAATATCTTATGAATATGTAAAAACAACTAAAACACCTGAGTGTAGAGTCATTTAGATTTTACTTCAACTTACCTTTTTTTTAAATTGCTGCTATAATTGAAACACCTTTTTATTACCTTTAAAGGAGCAAATGCACACACACCTATCGAAGCGTGTAATAAAAGCGCACCATTTCGGGCACTTTAGGTGCATGCGACAAAATAATACTTTATTCAAATATGTCTACTAACGCTTCTGGTTACTGCAATTAAACACCTACTTGCTTCTTTTACAGAATATATACACGAGCACCCACCAGCTAATTTGTTCAAAATATTAGTTTATAATTGCAAAAAAACGTAGGTAGAGTCTGCTACTCGGCTAGAAAATTTTGAAAAGGCTAGGTAATTTTCTGACATGCAATATTAAGCAGCAAGAAATTATATTACAAGCTGGAACAAGCTGCTTAGCAGTTTAAGAAAAGAGGAATTATATGTAAACGCGAGAACTGAAGGGAAATATGTACAAATATTGAGTGGAATGAAAAGTTAATACGCAAGTGTCTAACAGCTGGTGTTGGTACAATTTTAGCAGCACTGTTATCACGATTGCCACTTACCAAATTTGAAAAAAAAATATACCAAAAATGGTACATTTATGCGAAAATGGCAATCGTTAGCACTGTGGGAGGGATCCGGAGCTTGTCATCCGTAAACCGAGATTGCGCCCATAAATATTTGGCGAGAGTATGAAATGTGTTGCCACTAGGGCTTTGCGATTATTCGATTACTCGAGCAAGTTGGTTAGTCAGTTATTCGGTTAACTCGAGTAATCAAGATTTCGACTACTCAAAACGTTGATTAATCGAGTTACTTGAACTATGATTACTCAAAAAAAAATTAATTTTGCTCGTTAAAAGAGTTTGCTTTGGAAAATGCTTATTTTCTTTTTAACATTCTGTATATGAAAAAAATATTCGATTTTAAGGTATAAAGAAAATCAATTTGCTGAGAGAATTTCGTCGGAAGAAAGCTCGCTGTCAAAATTAAAACCCAGTACAGTATATGAGATTGACGAAATTCGGCAAGAATAGATTTATTTTTAATTTTGCCGCTGCCGCCCGTCATAAAAGTAGCTCTCAGTGGAAAAGTAGCTTTGTTTCCTAATTTTTCTAGCACATAATTATCAGCAAGAATTAGAATGGCAAAATTGGGTGTTTCATCTTTTTGCTTTTGCATTTTTATATTTTTTTGTTTGTCATTCAATTGATGCGAATTCCGTATCTGTTCTGTTTTACTGTTTTATGTATACATTACATAGTTAACTAGATATGATTTTTGGAGTAGGTGGCAACCCTAGTCAAAATGATTTTCAAACTAAAGCTTTCAAAAAGCTTCTTCGTTTAACACTCATATTTAAAAAATATCATTTATTGTGTATAAGTTAACTAAATTCGATTATTAAAAAAGATGGCAACTCTTTTCAAAACTGTTTTTAAATGTAAATCTTCTTAAATCTCTTTCGACTGACATTAAGATACAAATTTCAATTAAGTGATGAACTAAGTTGATTTTTTTTTAAATACGTGACAACTCATCTAAATATTGTTCATAAATAAAGCCTTTCCAAACCCATTTCGATTGATACCTGTTTAATTCATTTAACTTATTAGACAATCTGAATTTATCTTTTTACACTGGGGGTAACCCTCTTCAAATGTCTCGAAAATATACTAAAGATCCTTTACCACAATTACGTTTGACACTCATATTTTAATCTCTCATATAACTTGTGCATAATTTAATTAAATTCAACTTTTCTAACTGGAGGCAACCCTCTTCAAAGTAATTTTCAAACTAAATACTTTGGGTATGTGAAATGGTGAGGAATGTAATATTACATAAGGCTGAAACATCAGGCAAATCCTTCTTACGTTCTACTTACTTGAAGTGTTCTTATACGATATGTATTTGCATCTGTAAGTGTGACTTTTTCGATACATGAGCAATTGCATTTGTCTGTCAAATTCCCAGTCTTTATTTAACTATTTAAAATACGTTCTTTGAAAATTAAATAAACTAAACCCCGACGATTCTATATGCGTGTCAGATGAAAATAGTAACATGTATATTTCGTATGTATTTGCATTTGCTTTGTACAGAAACAAATCTAATTTGACTTTACACGTTATTTTGACATTTGCATATGTAAAAAGTGACATGTAAACATGCAAAAATATATCGAAGCACACCTTTAAAAACATAGGATCTCGGGGTTCATAGATATCAGAAACATGAATAACTTTGTTCTTAGCATGAACTGGTTTAAAGGGGATAACGGTGAACACAAATTCCATTGCGGTATTACAAAGGGCTTAGAGGCTAAATGTGTTTTTCGACTAGCTAGTTTCTACGAAAATCGGGTGATAGCTCCGACTGTCAAAAAGGGCCTTAAGCAATGATGAAGACATATTACTTATTTTATAATTTATTTTATACAAATAGATATTCTATATTACACTTGTTTGTTGCTTTTAAATTTTCATTAAAAGAAATTAAGAACACATTTCCATACATTTATGCACGATTTTTTTTATATAGATTTTTCGTTTTATTTATTTCAGCGATTTCTATGATTAACCTAACCACCAACTACGCAAAGTAACACCAACAAAGTTGTATTTGGAATACGAAAAACAAAAATAGAAAAAATAAACGATTGTGAGAGAAAATAACTTTTGCTTGCCAAATTGGAAAACACCGTTAATGTGAATTGCTACTACGTTTCTATTATTTTCTTGATTCTACACGTTAGCGCCGCAGAGCTTCAATTAGTCTAAGTTCAAGCAGCGACTTGAAGCTGAAATATGGCCTCAGAGTGAATGTACCCACCCACTTACCATATAAACAAAGTCGACAGCTGTCGCTTTCTTTTGGCCACATTTTAGAGCGCATGGACAAAAATCAAGTACGAAATTTTGCGCATACGAGGAATACTTCTATGGATGAACATGGATTATACTAAACGTTTTTTATGGCTTTCCGGCATTTTATTGGGTAAGTATTGGGCAAGTTTGTTTGTATGCACGCGCATATGTATGTACTAATCATAGGTAAAAATGTAAATATATATATATATATTGATGTATTCAAAAAGCTTTTAGTTTTACGATGAGTAACGGTTATCATGCTTACGCATTTATTACTTATTGACAAATCTGCGTATTTGATTGGTGATTGTTAATTGTTCACTATCGGTTAAATTTTGATGGCTAATGAGTAAAGGCTATTGACTGACTATTGGGTTTTTGCTAAAGGCCTCTTTGTTTTTATTGGTTTTGGAATTTATTGATTGGTTTGACTTTTTCGTACATAATGAAGTTTAAAAAATTAATATTTTCTGCATGAACTTGAAATGTTTATACGTTATTGTAATGGTTAATTGGCGATTGCCAGTTGGTAAATAGCTGTGTGAAGGTAATGTGAAAGCAAAACAAATGGAAAGTACATTTGCGTCCAAAATTTTAGTTCGACCAAAGCTGGTCTAGTTAAGTGGGTCAAGTACGAATGGGTGCGCTAATTGATTTTATTTCTTTGAATTCATATATATGTATATGTACAGTGACGAACCAAGGTATTGGCACAGTGAATTTTTCGCAATATATGCAAAGTTTTCTATTCTAATTTGTCTTCGATAATTTTTCTATAAAAATATAGTTCATTTTACACCAAAAAATATAGAAATATAAAATCTCTAAACTTTGTGCAAAACTCACCAAAATTCAATAAATTTACACACTAATTTGCAACTTTCTATTCAGATCTTTTAGAAAAATTCTAAGTATGCAGTTTTATAGTCCATTCAATTTTTGTATGACCGAATGCAAGCTTAAAGTTTTTGGTAATTTTTTTAGTGGAAAGTGTTGCTCATTTTCTCTATACAAAAAATAATTGTCGAATATAATTTATAAGGAAGAAGTTCGTGCGTGAAAAAAAAATTACCAAAAATCAACGCGATTTTCTAGCGACTTCAAACTTGCACTTTGTTATTCTAAATTTGAATGGGCTATAAAATTACATACTTGGAATTTTTCTAAAAAATCTGAATAAAAAGTTGCATATTTGTGTGCAAATTTAATGAATTTTCCTGAGTTTTGTACAAAGTTTTATTATTATGTTTTCTGGTGTAGAATGAACAATATTTTTATAAAATATTATCGATTATAAATTATTATTAGACTAAAAAACTTTGCATATATTGCGAAAAATTCGCTGTGCCAATACTTCTGTTCGGCACTGTATGTATGTGTTTATGATTGTTTGGAAAGAAAAGGCAAATCATAATATTTTTATTTGCGGAAACTGAATTTGTTTCAATTATATATAAGAATCAAATCCATGCAGTTGGCAATGTTTTCATACGGAAAGGACTTTGTTAATTGAATGCCAGGGCATGAATTATGTTGACCAATATGTGACACAAGAATTGATTTTAAACTAATATTTTTCCCCATTTCAATCAACTACGTGGCACGAGGGCATTTTGATAAGTCAGTGACTTTACAACTACTATCTGTTAGAAGACTATTCTCAAATTTTGAGGAAGCTGCGTCCATTTTGCATAAAATCCCCCAGATATATAAGTGAAGAGGAATAGGAAATACTAGCCGATTTTATGAAAATGTTGAAATTTGTCTAGCTTAGTTAGTTAGTGGAGTACTATCTAAAATTAAATCTATTTCCATATTTTCAAATTAAAGAAATTATCGATGGTCAAAATTTAAAATTTAAGAGAAATACGAATCTTTTTTTAATTTACCTGATAAAAAATCCCAACAAGCCAAGTCCGACAATAGATTTTTATATACCATTTCAAAGGCATATATATCATCTTCTCAGATCACATTCGATCTTTGAAATCGAATCAAAAATAGTCATTCAAAAATCGACAGGTCTAGACCTCTAAATGACCTTTAAAAAATCTATACAATTAGTAAATAATATTTCTCATAAAATGGAATAAAATTAGGGGGTAGGGTCTTGAAATTTTCAAAAAAACATTTTCGATGGGCACCCTAATGTACACACATACTTACATATATTAGGGCTGACAAAGAAGTCTGAAATGGACATGTTCTTTCCTTAAGAAAATCTATAACGGCTAGACGTTTTTTTTTTGCTGAGTTCCTATTTTACTGCCTTCTATCTGTCTATCGATTTTTCCATACATTTTACATATTACATATTTAGTCCATTCTTTTTGCATAATATTTATTTATTCGCCATCTTTATGCAACTAACACTGGCCGCTTCACTCATTACTAAAATACTTAAATATCAACAACCGACACACCTTAACTAACCTTTGCTCATTTAAAATAACACTTTTTTGGTATATATATTTTCGCAAGCACTAATTAACCTCAAATAGCTGTAAGTGCAAGACAAAAAAGAAGGAAAACAAACCGAACCAAAAACAACCAACTAACTACTTGTACAAAAAAAAACTTGTAAATATCGACGAGTAATTATTAACAAAATTATTTGTATCGTATCTGTGACAAAATCTGCTGCATGTGCACAGGTCCAATTCTACTTGCAGCCTTGACGTTACAAGATGCCGCCAGTCCAGTATTTCAAAATCACAAAACGAAAGAGTGGACGAATTTAGATAACATAACATTCTCTTTTGATTGTACGCATCGGCCGGTTGGCTTCTACGCTGACATGGAGTACAATTGTCAGGTGAGTGAGTGTGTGTCTGTATGAAAGGCGAGGAATAAAATGAAAAGAGAAACAAATATTTAAAACAGCTCACAATCGTTAATGCGTGTGTGGGGCTGTGTGGCCTGTGTGTGTGTGTATGTAAGAAAAATAAGAGAGTTCAGCGCATTTTATGCTCACGCTTAGCAAAGAGCAAGAGTAGTTGAAAGTTTAATTCATTTGAAAGCGCGGCTTTGTATGTATGTTTGTTTTAAGCCTAAAAGTATGCACTAAATTTTTGCTAACGCGATCGTTTTTCCCATTTATGCTATATAGATCTTCCACATGTGCGATGAGGAGGGCAATCGCATACCGCATTTATGCGCCAACGAAACTTCTTTCAATCAGGAGTATCGCATCTGTGATTGGGACTACAATTTCAATTGTACAGAGTCACCGGTAAACGAAATTGATATGCTATAAGAAGTTCTTGTTAAATATAAATAAATGACTTCTCCATTTTCTATTACAGAAATGGTTTTATCTGAACGAGCTGACGTATGCCACGGAACCACCCGATGAAGATGAAGATTATTGAATAGCACCACCAACCAACCTATCCACTCCCAATCATTCTAATCGTCCGCTTCTTCCAATCACTCTGAGTGACCTTACTGACAAGTAAATAAATAGTTAAGCGAATTTGTATTTATATTATTGTAATTAAATCTAATTTGTTACGGCAAAACTACTTATTCTAAACTAAGCATACATATTTATGTACGAATATGTGTATTTAATCGATGAGATTCCGAAGCCGCCAATTTCGCTTCGAGTAATTTTAGTAAATATGTGTGTAATTAATGGAGTTTTAGCGCTAACGAATTTTCTTATTTAAAATTTAATGAAATAATAATTTTTTATATATATGTATATACATACGTATGTATGTAGTTGTTCATATGTAATTGTATATACAAGTAAATACATTCGTAGATGATGTAGTTTTAATTGTAAATTATATAGTTGATTTTAAAGCGATTTTATAATTTATATGTACATATGAATTTGTTGTTATTTTGATATCAACTGCCTTTTTTAAGCAACAGCAGCTGCTAGAACAACTAAACAAAATTTGTTTATGAAAATTGTGAAAGAAATCAAAAATATATAGTAATAAAATATTGTAAAACTACAGCTATCCGCAAGGCTTGTAAATTTAGTACCTACATATATATTGTTTATTCTAAACTCCATTCTTACTTTACAATTGAGTTACAGACAGGTACGGATTCCACTCTAGGACTTACTTGAATGTCCAATTTTTTGCATTTTTCTCTTGTAAACGCTTAGGTATGTACTAAATATCCCTTAAAGTTTCGGAATTGCCTAGAGACGTATCCAGCACCCTAGGTTTTGTTTTAATCTATTTTGTTTTGTTAAGTAGTAGTAAAATTTATGATGTTCAATCGTGTCATTTTAAGTATTATTAATTCAGCAACCATAAAAACTCCTTAATATTACTAAAAGCCCCCGAGTACCGAGTTTCGAGTGAATCCAATAAATTTTAAAAAATTACTAGTAAACCCGCGTGTCGCTAAAACGCCTAAATTTAACTTAATTTTAACACAAGTGGCATCCCTGTAAGTCAGGGTTTTGGGCGATCGGAGTATCACATTTCATCAAAATCCGTTCATCTGTTTCTGAGTGAAGAGATGTCTCGCGTGGTCTCGGTTTTTCAAATTTAACATCGTCCTTTACCGCTAAAAAAGTTGTAAATAAAAAAAAAACGGTGTTGCATATCAACAGGTTAAGCTTGTTAATTTTATATCTAAAATTTGAAAAAAAGGTGCAGATCTGATGACCTGGACAATAAATTCTAGAGGGGAAAAACTGCTGATAGCTTCTTGTCTATCGTAGTAGATTCGCTTCAATGCTTGTGTATGGGTCATTCCATGCAATATTTACACCTCAATATTTGTTTTGGAGTGAAGTATATTTTTTTTACATTCATTATCGAAAAAAAGAAGACACCTATTTATTTATTTCGTCATGATATTGGACAATCACAAAAAAAAAAAATTCCCGAAATTTAGAACTATACTAAATTTATGCGTTTATACTAAATTTTATGTACGCAGGTATAAAAAAAACTCGTAACTTCTACAGTTTTGGTGTTTCCATTCTCAAATTTTTACAGCGTACTCCATAAAGTTTGACAACTATTCAGGTTGAAAAAATTAAAAATCAAACATGATGCAGTTAATAAAAAAGAATAAAAAATAGAAAAATCGATTTTTTAATGCAACATTTGTTTAATTTTAATCTATCTCACACTCTTATGGAAAGCCGAGGTAATTACGCACATTTTGCTACCTTAACTGCAAACAATTGAAAAAAGATACTTCTCCGAGAGTTCAAAATTTCGGGATTTTTTTCGTGATTTTCGAATATCGTGACGAAATAAAATAATAAATAGGTGTTTTCTTTTTTTCGATAAAGAATGTAAAAAATATATTTTACCCAAAAAAAAAAAAAAAATTGAGGAGTAAAATATCGTATGGAATGACCCTTATGTATTTGGTTTTTTATCCACGCTTACAATTTTTTTCGTTCCCATATTCGGTTAGTAATATTGAAATGCACAAGTTGCACATAATCTTAAAAGTTGACAATCTAACCGTTAAAATTATTTATCTTCAAAATTTTTGGAACATTTCTACTTTTCCTCAAAAGCTCAGAGTTTTCATTCAGTAGTAGACATTCTAGTCTTTAAAACCAACCCTCACTTTAATTTTATTCGATAATTTTTACTGGTGATCCAACGGCGCGATTATTTCCACAAATACATTGCACTTCTTCTGATTTCAAATTGTACGCTGATATGCGCCTGTTGACAATCACGTTTCAAATCATCGACCTGTGACTAATGGTTTGTTTTAAGCATTTAAATAGAACGAACAATTTTGCGTGAAACACAAAAGGTTTAAGTGTGATGCAGGAAAATTTATTTACATACTTATATATATGTGTGTGTACGTGTGGTGTTAATCAGTCTACATATATTAAATGAAATTAGGCCGCATTAATATTTCACAACTGATTGTTTTGCAAAATAAAAGTAATTAAGTATAAATTAAATTAATGAAGAAAATTTGCAAATTTGACAAATAGCATACATAGATGACTAATGTGACAATTTGCTTTGGTGATTCCCTAGTTAGGCGATACGCTAGTCATTCAAGTAAATTACTTAAAAATGAAAAGCTATGAAAATTCGGTGAAAATTATAGTTTGATTATTGGATAGGTGTTTGACCATACTAACTGCTTTGTCCTATTCAGTGTTGCCGCGCATAATTTTTAGTGGTAGCCAAATTCCTTTAAAAAAAGGGCTAAAAGGGAGCTAAAAAAAGTCGTTGTGGCTAAAAATGGTAGCTAAAATTTTTTACTTACATATACATTTATAAGTATACACGTAAACATTTTGAATAAGTAATGGTATATAAAAACAATGAACTTTGGAAAAAAAGCAAATATTTTATCCAACCAAAAACCTTTTTGTGTAAAAGGGGAAATATACGACACCAGCTTGCTGGTTCCATCAAGTGTTTGTACCATCAGGCTCGAAGCATATAACTTACCAGCATGCTGGAACAATATTTATTTCTTTAGAGCCGAAATTTCACAATTTTTCTAGCATTTTGTTAAACATTGTTTGTTTTTGCAATTCACAACTGCAATATCGTGAACTTAATCTTCCACAAACACGGCTTTGACTCATATAGTGCAAGAAATTTACGCCAAAATACCTTTTACTTAGAAAATTGAGCTAATTTCACCACTAACGACACCAGCATGCTGGTACAATCACACCACAAGAAAATACACGGTCAATCGACTTGATGGGTCATTTAACAAATTTAGCATATTAAGGGCCGTGAACTTATCTATTTTAAACTATAGTTAAATCGGTTACAGATAAGTTAACAGCCCCAATACTTTTACTGTATGTATTTATAAAAGCGTAAGGAACATATAATACATATATGTATATATATCTGTCTTTCTTAGTTTAAAAATTCATCTCTTACATAAATGCAAAAAAAAAACAAATTAAGCATATACAACTTTTTCAGGCCAAGGATGAATAAATTCTAAACAGGGCTAAAAAAAGGGCTAGGGGCAATTTTAAATTTATGTGGCCAAAAAAAGTATGTGGTAGTTAAATCTAGCCACCAAAGGGCTAAAACGGCAACACTGGTCCTATTTAGGACAAATTAATTTTTCTTTTTATTTTAACTTTTTCTTTTTTTTTGATTGAAAACTTCCATCTCAAAATTCGTGTGTAAATATTATAAGTAAATCTGGTACAATGCAACCGTGCCCTAGTTAGAGCAGAAAGGTATACTTCGCCTCTTTTATACTGACGGTGGTAGGTAGGTTAACAAACCTAATGAAGGAAGTTTATTTGAAAATTATTCCAGAATATTAAAAATTTGTCAATTCGTCAAAAATAAAATTTCGATAAAATCCTTTCCAAATCAATTGCTATGCCACGCAGCGCAGGCCGACCGTTATACTGTACACATCATCTTAGCAATGATTGAATTGAATTAAAAGCTTTTAGTACAAAATTTATCGATAAACACTGTTATTATTTTTATGGGGCGTTCCATACCAAAATGGACGGGCTTCACACTTCATGTGTTTGATTTGTTTCAAATTATTAGGGTCGACGGACAAATATAAATAATAAACAAATATGAAATTTGAGCTTTATTAATGCATTTTTAAAAACTTGACAGCACAAAAACAGAAACAAATCGATTTAGTAGTTTCCCAAATATCTCGAGAACGGGGTGAGGAAAAAATTTGAAAAAAGTCACACATAAGTCACAAAATTCTCTATGAAAGGAAATATTAAAATTTTTTTTCTTGAAAAATTTTTCACATACGCATTTTTTTATAAAAAAAATTAGTTTTTGAAAATATGCCATCTCAAAAAAAAAATTTAAAAAAATCACATTGGTGGCTCTGAGTATTGCGCAATATTTAAGTATAGTATTACGGGGTGCACTCTACAACAATTTGAGTTATGATTTTTTTTTTTTTAAACCGAAGTTGAGTAAAATGAGTACATTACAAATTTTTTTAATATTTGTTTTAAATTTGTTTGAGTATCCAGTATGTATTAATCAAGCTCAAACTTCATATTTATTTATTATTTATGTTTATCAATCCATTTTGGTGTGGAACGCCCCATATATATGGATATACAATTTAATATATTGAATTAGTTAAACAGTAAGCAAAATGAAACATCACCGATAAAGTTAAAAACTGGCCGATTAATTTTAAGTACAAATTCGTAAACATGAATTAAGCTTGTAACTATAATAAGTACATAAAAATCAGTTAATTACTAAAGGGAATAAGTCAAAATTTTTTCGATATGAAAATTTTGATGCAGTTCGATTTGTTTAAAGTAGCTCTGTTGAACTGCATCAAATATGCAATATCGAAAAAATTCTGACTTATTTCCTTTGGTAATTAATCGATTCATATATAAGTAGGTGTGTATATGTACGCACTTATTTGAATTTATTGTAAATTACAGCAAATGAAGTTAAGCCGTCACTTAAAAACTCAAATTGTTTTTGTGTTTTTATGTCCTTAAATTAACGTTTCGATTGAGTAGCTTTACGATTATTCATCAAAATTTAAACACCATGCTTTTCAAACAAATTTCATAGTCTGGGTACATCCCATTACATACTTATGTATGTACTTATATATGTTTGTACATTTGCATACCTCGATACATACATA